AAAAAAAAAGAAAAAGATTTTTAGTTGTAGAAGGAGAATGTTTGTCTCTATGATGCGCAGTGGTCGCTAACCTACGCATCCTTTTTTAAAATCCCTTTTTTTAGTGTTAAATCATGATCTTCGTCTACATTTTTTGTTTGTGTAGATAAACTGATAAAGGCCGTATCACAACCTTTATTTATGCCAAAACAAGTTTTGATGGTAACGATTATAGTTTAGTTATAAAAAAAGAGTTCAACGTCGAATATCGGTGATGATAAAATGACTAAATTAGCTTGATATGATTTCCGGTCCGAAAAATATATATCTAAGCTCACAATTTGTAGTTTAAGAAGAAGAAAAAAATTGTTTTTTATTTAATACGGTAGATAGTACAATTAGGCTCCGTCCAAAGTTTGGGAGAGCATTTAACAAAAAAAAATTTTGGGCCCTAATTACATAAAAAAAAATGGCCCTATGCAAATGCACACTAAAAAAACCTAGGGCAGGGCCTGAGTACAATTAGAAGCAATATAACCACTGTTAAAAGATGATAATACAAAAGAAAAGAGTGTTATTATAGTTTGTAATACTACTTTGCTGATTAGTTATACGGGAGATAGTACAAATTGTAGTGCAGTTGTAGAATGCTAAATGTTTTTTTTGGGTGGTTTAGGCTCGATATACCGTTTCGTATTTGACCGATAACAAAAATCTGTAATTAGTTTCTTTAGTTAACAAGATTCAAAAAAAATTGAAACATTAACATTCTAATATTTTCGAGTTATTTTATGAGGTTGGTTTTTCTGTTACCTCATAATAAACCAGAAGATTTTCGAAAAAAGAAAATCTCAAACCCGGGGAAATAATAATCTTTAGTCGGAAGGTTGGGGATGAACATTTGATGTGTTAGTAGAAAAGTAAGAAAAGAGTTGCAAGAAGAACACAATTGTGGAGGTTGGTACAAGTTTGTCCCCTCCTAACAACTAAAGCTCTAAAATTATCGTAACCACTAAAAGTGATTTGATTGGTTTTTGAGGATTTTAATTTGTGTGGGGATTCAATATACAGATTCATTTAGCCATTCGTTTTTTTTTTTTGTCTACAGAATTAGTCGGCAAGATTCTCCTATTGGTTTCTTGTGTAGTCGTAAAAATGAGGAATGGTTTGTGTGATCCATTCGGATAAACGAGTGATGTGTGAAAACTAAAAGACTGTGACATAAGACCTGTGACCACAAACACAATACAAAACATTTTTTGTTTTGGCAGACATGCTTTGTGTGATCCCAAAAGTAACAAGAGAGGTAATCATCTAAAACTAACTAATTTCTACATTTTTTTTCTCCCTCTCTCTCTCTAAACCATTAAACTAGTCTTCTTGGTTATCCCACAAATTTGACCCTTGACAAAACCGTAACTTCCCCCCCATATGTTGATATTATTAAAGACCAGAGTTTGAAATACAAAGTAAAAGCCACAATCCCACCATAGGAAAGCCACAATCCCGCAAAACCGTAACTAGGTTTTGCATTTTTTTTAATGCGATTTCAATAGACCAACGTGATATTATGTAAAACAGCGTGTTGTGTATATAAAAAAAATAATAATAACACAGTATCCATGTTGTATGTAAACAAACATAATTAGAGTTTTGCATTTTTCCAAATAATTGACTAAGATGTGGTAATTTAGCACTATTACTTTCTTGTGTACTTTTTTTTTTTTTTTTGCTAAAAGGTTTTTTTGGTATTCTTGAAGTTGAATAGAAAGACGAAAAAATGAATCAGGTTAAAAAAAAATGGAAATGGTAGCTCAACAAGATATAGCTTACTAGTAGTAGTGACCATTGTACGGACAAAATTGAGCAGCAAGGCATAAAAGATATTTTGGTTGAACCAAAGAAAGAAGTACCGTAAAAGAGAGTAATTTGGTGGATAAACAAACCAAAGAAAGTATGGTTAGATGAGAGAATCAATTCAAATACTCAAAAGCATCTGATTACCTAACCCATCAACAAAAAAACAGAAGCTGATTCTGCAGAGAAAGACAGAGACAAATGCACTTACAAAGATTTTAGTAATGGAATTCCTCAATGCTTCTACGTAGGGTTTTAAATAAAGCTGGGAGTTACCTGATACAATCTATCCATGGCTATAGCCTAGAAATGAATAGATTCCATCGGGTAACTCCCAGCTTTATCTCAATTTCAGATCTAATAGGAATATCCGGCTGAAAAGAGAAAGTAGCCATCAAGATAATATGCATTAACATAACCTTGAAAAGTAGATATACGTACTGGGATCTTGATAATAGAGGCCAAAACTCAACTTTTAATGATCTCGAAAGTGGAGGGTTTAGGTTCTTCATTAAGCTGAATTTCACTCGGCTTCATCTGAATGTCCAAGGAAGATTTTTCTTTAGTGCTCTCCAAGTGAATTGCTTTGATGCTATTGACAACATGAAGAGCATGCTCCCGGTAATCCCCATGTAACAAATCAGAGTGCCCAAAATGAACGAAACCTGCATGAAGATTGAAGCTTGATGAGATTCAAGAGTCTCACTCTAACATATTCATAAAACAATGACTTGACTTTCTATAGCAGATTAATCTTTTCAATAATGCAGACTCACAGAAGACAAGTGAAAAATCTTGAAAAGAAAATGTTAATAGGTACAGAGAGGCCGGTATGGAGCTCCCAGTTCTTTCACTGTCTATTAACGAAGCAAAAAAACAGGCAATAAGATTTCAGGTATGTGTCAAGTAGCTTTGGTTTTTCATTTCACAGTGAGGATAATCTTTCACAACGAATGAGCCAGAAGGTTTACGCAACCTAGACAACCCAACGTGTATCAAGTAGCTTTCTTATTTGACTTCATTTCTAAATGTTTTTATCTTCCAAAAAACACAGCTCAAACGGAAAATCAAGGAAACCAAATACACTCACTCTAGTTAGCCCCATCTATCTGATATTGAATCTAAAGCCAACAAGTTAAAATCCGAAACAAGCTCAACCTGCAGGTTAGAAAACATTCCTCATGAGTGTTCCACCAAACGGTCTTAAATTCTCATAAAGGAATGAATCCTCATGAGTCAGCTCTACAACTTCAAAACGAGAGAGAGATAAATACTTGGAAAAGCCACAACAAGCACAAACTTTCATAACCTGAGCATAAAAGTGTTCTAAACAAACAACTGCCAATCGTCACCTATCACAAGAAAGCACAAAAATTACCTGATAAAAGCACACAACATAAGACATTCCTTGAAACTGCTCTGAACCCAAATTGGAAAACTGGAAGAAAGCTAGTAAATTAGCTTGTTGTTAGATACCAAATACAAGTTCTCCTTCTTCATCATGAACAATCACAACATACTTGAAGGATTAAACACCAAAAAATTCTGAAAATCTATAAACTGGAAACCTCAATTTTAAGAAGAAAATTCACAAAATTAAACAAACCCAAAACACCACTATCATCGCATTGCCTCATTTGTCTAACCAATTTGGAGAAGTCCGAACCTTTACATACTCTAATCACTGAACAGAATCGAAAACAAAAACCCAAATAAGGTAGACCCATATTCGAAACAAAACCAGGTCGCGATGATAGCTCACCGGAGATGAATTCGTGACGGCGACGGCGGAGCAAACAAAAGTGATGGATCCTCATGCGAATAGGTCTGTCTCCGTGAGGAAGATGACAGTCACGAGATGGTCACGTGAGATCTCGTGGGACACGAATCGGACGGCTGATAATAAAAATCAAGAC